AACATATTAGAAGTATTGGTGACATCAAACGTACAACTTCTAAATTTAGTTTGATCCAATAACTAAATTTTGTAATTAATTTTTAATGGGTAGTTGAAATAGAATTGGAGACCATATTTATTTATTTAAAACAAAAAAAAATCTATTAATTTATAAATTGTTATAAAGATAGATATATATATTTTAAGAATAATTGTTGCAAACACATGATTGTGGAAATTTAGAAAGAAAATCAAAACATTGAAACAAATTTTAAATTTTTGTAGACCAATAAATACACAAATAATCTCATATATATATATATATATATATATATATATATATATATATATATATATATATATATATATATATATATATATATATATATATATATATATATATATATATATATATATATATATATATATATATATATATATATATATATATATATATATATATATATATATATATATATATATATATATATATATATATATTTGTGTAGTGAAATAAGATGTCAAGTGTTCCGTTATAATTATTTTTTGGCAAAATAGTTTGTAACTGTTAAGTATTAACAAGTGTGAGTAGGGTGGATAATAGTCCCACATTGGATAGAAATGTGGTGACTTGAGCATTTATAAGTGAGAGAACACATACACCTATCACCTTAAGGTTTTGGGTGAGTATGTGGTGTGTCTCTCACAAAGGTTGCTCTAGAAAAAGTCCCACTATGTTCAATGCTCCCTAGTTGAAAGTCCAACAGTGGTATCATGAGCCTTTGGTTCGAATAAAGGGAATGACTTACTTGTATCGAAAGTATCCCCGTAGGTCGTGGGTTGAGTGTCTCGTTGAAGAATGTCAACGGCGGTAGGGTGCAGTTGCACAGGGTTCGAATAAAGGGAACGACTTACTTGTATCGAAAGTATCCCCATAGGTCGTGGGTTGAGTGTCTCGTTGAATAATGTCAACGGCGGTAGGGTGCAGTTGCACAGGGTTCGAATAAAGGGAACGACTTACTTGTATCGAAAGTATCCCCATAGGTCGTGGGTTGAGTGTCTCGTTGAAGAATGTCAACGGCGGTAGGGTCCCCATAGGTCGTGGGTTGAGTGTCTCGTTGAAGAATGTCAACGGCGGTAGGGTGCAGTTGCACAGGGTTCGAATAAAGGGAACGACTTACTTGTATCGAAAGTATCCCCATAGGTCGTGGGTTGAGTGTCTCGTTGAAGAATGTCAACGGCGGTAGGGTGCAGTTGCACAGTTAAAGTTTCCGCTTAAGGGAGAGCATTGGGATAGACTCACACTTGAGGGAACCCATACCATGAGCATTTGCACAGTTAAATTTTCCGCTTAAGGGTGAGCATTGGGATAGACTCACACTTGATTTTCCGCTTAAGGGAGAGCATTGGGATAGACTCACACTTGAGGGAGAGTGTTAAGTATTAACAAGACTCACACTTGAGGGAGAGTGTTAAGTATTAACAAGTGTGAGTAGGGTGGATAATAGTCCCACATTGGATAGAAATACGGTGACTTGAGCATTTATAAGTGAGAGAACTCATACACCTATCACCTTAAGGTTTTGGGTGAGTATGTGGTGTGTCTCTCACAAAGGTTGCTCTAGAAAAAGTCCCACTATGTTCAATGCTCCCTAGTTGAAAGTCCAACAGTAACGTCTATCCATTTATGTATCTTTGCTAAACTCTCTCCCATTTCCCTTGAATATACAAAGCTGAAAGCAAACAAAGTATCCTATGACTCTGGCTTATCCTATGACTCTGGCTTTTCCAGAATTGTGTCATTGGCTTGTCTGCGTGGTAGCATTTCTATGTGATAGCATTCCCATGACTGCTTTGAATATATGTGCTCCCTCACTTATTTCTTATATAACACTTTTCATTTTACTCACAATTCAAATAAATTTAAACTCATTTTTATTTTCACCATGTTTCAACATTTGATCACAGTTCATTCTTTTTCTCTCATTTTCTTAACCTCTCTCCTCTTTATGACAAATCAACAATAATAATAAAATTGAAAAGGAGAAAAAAAAAGATGTGAGAATTATTGACAGTTCCATAAACTTTGGCAACATGAGCGCTCTTATAAATTTTCATTTATAAAAACGGGTTGTGTTTAATCCGAAGAGAAAATTGTCCATTGAATCTTTGCTTTACTTTATGACATTTATGTTCTTATCTTTCTCTTTTTTATAACTTTCAGATAGTTATTGTATGTTTATCTCTTCCACAATAACGTTTAGGTGGTTATTGTATGTGGAAGTTATTTAAACTAATTATTTGAATTGTAAAATATAGAGTAAGTAAAGGGTAATATGGAATAAAAATATATCATGCCAAAATTTGGTATTCTCTTTATATATAGGTCTATATATATATATATATATATATATATATATATATATATATATATATATATATATATAGAGAGAGAGAGAGAGAGAGAGAGAGGTATAGATATTGATGTCATATAAAATGTCACGTCAGAAATTTTCCTGTTTTCTTAAAAATTATCAAAATATAAATTAAAAGTCTTTGAGGTTGAAATTATTAATAAAAAATATAATAAGAAAATTCGAGAATGTATATGCGTATCCAACTTGTTTTTGGAGATTCTTCATTATATCACTTCGACAAAATTTTAAAAATATTTTAAATTTTAGATTTTAAAATCTTGACGCGTCAATTATTGAACTCTCTCAAAATCACGATAAATCAAAGAAAAAAATAAGTTTAAGTTTTAAAATTCGGATTCTTCTATGTTATCAAGAACTCATCTTCAGAATAAATAAGGTCTAATATTCATAAATTTATCCATATTTTAACTTTTGAATTATACTTTGTTATTAAAAACCATAAACAATTTCAGACATAAAAAACATCATAATTTAATATAAATCTTAGTCATGACATACATAAAATATGAAACATTATATAAATTTTTATTAACATAAATCTAACATTACATTTCATCTTCAATACATGATTAAAGAGGTTTCAATATCTTTAAAATATCGTCGGTCGATCTCTCAACTGTCGGATCCACCTCGATTGGACCCTTTGTTGTGTAACGGTGAAATGTACCCCACATAACTCTTAAATCTTCATTTTTTTTCAGCTCAAACTTGTTGAACTTCATCTTCTCTCATTATCAATTGAGGATGAACGACACTTGATCTTAACCACTTTTTGATAGAACTTTTTTAGGATTGTGAAATTGGAGATTCCAAAAAAAGTGTGTCGACATGTTCGAAGTAATATGAACACCACTTGGTTGAATTGTCACTCGGTGTTTGTTTGACCTTCTTAGGAACAACCTCTAGTTTTTTTTTGTTCTACTAATGGTTTCAAATTGGTGGTTTCTGGATAGGAAATCTTCCTCAGTTGCTATTTGATGTGTAGTTTCTAGCCTAACAGAATCATGGTAGTTATTCATCTAAAATCGACCAATATATAACACAACATGATACAACCTTTAGTTTTTGTGTTCTACTAATTGTTTCAAATTGTTGGTTTCTGGATAGAAAATCTTTCTCAGTTGCTCTTTGATGTGTAGTTTATAGTCTAACAGAACCATCGTAGTTATTCATCTAAAATCGACCAATATAGAACATAACATAATACATCATCAATCATAAAAACTAATTCCCAAATTGAAATGAAATATTAACCAACATATTGAGTAACTAACAAATTGAAAATCGAAATCTTTACATTTGAAATCCAAATAAAGATAATGACATCAATCATAAAATCTAATTCACAAATTGCAATAAAATTTATCCAACATAATGAACAACTAACATATTGAAAATCAGAATCCTTAAATTTGAAATCTAATAAAAGATTACAACATAATCATAAAACCTAATTCCCAAATTGAATTCATTAAATATTAAACTTAAATACCTTAGCAAATATGCTATCAATACGAACGGTGCGAAGAGCAATTGTATGAGAGAATATTGAAGGTTTTCTTGTTGAACAATGTTGGGAAGAAAACTCGTTTTACAATGGCGAAAGAAGAAGATGAAACATGTGTCCGTTAGTGGTCATTTTACAATTGCGGCGAAAGAAGATGATTTTGGGTAGTTCTACCAATTGGGGTAAAAAACATGAAGTTGTTGTTGAAAATATTGTGACAATATTACAAAATGACAATAATCAATTATCTTAAATAAATAAAATGTTTAATTACAATTTTGATCATTTTACGATTTATAAAATTGGTTCCCTATTTCAAATTTAAACAATTTTGATCTCTCTATTTTAAATTTGAATAGTTTTGATCTCCCTCTCATGTTTTTGCACTTAAAATTAATGATGTTTCTTTTTTTTAATTAATGAGTTATTTATGAAATATCACAAATCACTGTATATAAATATATTGTTGAACTTTATAGATAAAAATAAAGTTGAAAAACGAATATCTCGTTAATTTTCTATAAAAAAACATGAAAAAAGATATAAAAATGTTTGAGTTTATATGGACACAATCATCTCCCCTAACCAATCAGACTTCATCCCTTCTAGAAGTTCTCATGACAACATTGTCATTGCTCAGGAGATTCTTCATAGCGTGCATAATTCAACGATGAAAAGTGGATCCTTCGCTATCAAAATTGATCTAGCCAAGGCGTACGATATATAATATGAGTTAGAATTTCATTGAGGGTGTGCTTCAGGAAGTGGGGATACCTGATAATCTCAGAGTGCTGATTATGGGTGTTGTTACTTCATTGCACCTTTAAGTGCTTTAGAAGGGCAATAACGAAGAATATTTTGAAGCGAAGAAAGGATTATGCCAAGGTGATCCATTATCCCTTTATCTGTTTCTCCTCTGTATGGATAAATTATCCCACATCATTCATGATGCAGTGGGCAATAACCAATGGCAGTGCTTGAAGATTAGTAAAGAGGGCCCTAAGGTCTCACCTTATGTTTTCCGACGACTTCATTCTATTTGGCATCACTTCTAATAAACAAATTAAGGCGATAATGGATATCTTGTCTCTTTTCTGCAAAGCTTCAGGTGAGAACATCAATATGGACAAGTCCAACATTATGTTATCTAGGAATACTCCAAATGGTATTAGAAAGAATATCCTTGTTAAGTCGAGATTTAGGGAGACCTCGTCCCTTGGCACCTATATAGGAGTTATGCTAACTGGAAAGAGCCCTAAATACAGAGACTTTCAGTATCTTATTGAGAAGGTCCAAGAAAAGCTTGCACATTGGAAGTGAAATCAACTTTCTTTTTTTGGTCGGATTACCTTGGCTAAAACAGTCATTGAAACTCTTCTCACATATACGATGATGTTTGTTCCTCTTCCTAAAGCATGTGTCAATAAAATTCAACAATCATTTATTTGGAGTGACTTCATTGATAAGAAGCAGTTGCACACGATTTGCTGGAATATTATTAACAGAGACAAGAAAGTAGGTGGTCTTGGGCTCCAAAATTTAAATCTTATGAATAGAGCATGCTTGACTTGTGCCTTTGGAGTGGAACTCAGATAGGAAAGTTCACCATCTCCAGCATGTTTAATACCATATCCCAGAACTTTAATGCTGAAGTATGTGTCATATGTAAAAATATGTGGCAGACTCAAGCTCCGAAAAGGGTTAATGCTTTCATCTGGAAAATGAGCCATAAAGAGCTTGTAACTAATGAGTTTATGCACCATCTTCAGTTACACAATAATAATTGTGACATTTGTGAATCGACTCCGGATTCTATTCTTCCCTCCACCCACGATTGCACCTTTCCGAAAGCCTTTTGGACTACAGTGGTAAGTCATTCTTTTAAGAAGCAATTCTTCTCCTGCTTGCTTCTTGACTGGATTTGTGGGAATTTAACCCAGAAGTTGACGCAAGCGGGTATTGATTGACCTGCCTAGTGGGCTTTTGGTTGTCATCGCCAATGGTATTGGACAAATAAAATTTTGCATGACCCTCATTATGTTTTTCCTTCTAATCTGATGTTCGAGGTGCGTGAGGATGTGGCGTTATATCGGAGTAGCAAATGGTATTTTAGTAGATTGCAGCCTGCGCCATTGGTTTCGAAAATTACCACCCGGTGTCTTCCTCGTATGGGTGGGTTTGCCTCAATTCTGATGGAGCTGTCCTGAGTAGTATTGTGGCCAAATATGGTGGGTTATTTCGTGACAATCACGACAATTGGCCTGGAGGATTCCACAAACAAATTGGTATCTATAACAGTATTCTAGTAGAATTTTAAGGTATGTTTACAAACTTAGATTTTTCTTTGAAGAGAGGTTTTAAGAAGCTCGTGGTCCAAAGAGATAATTCTAATGTTGTCTTTGATCTTCTTAGTAAGTCGCAGATCCAGCATCAAGGGGCTTTCATGAGACCATGACAGGGCATATTCGTCAACTTCTTCTTTTGTTCGAAGCAGTCCATTTTAAGCATATTTTTAGATAGGCTAATCAATGTGTCGACTACCTTGCTAAATTGTCTGTGCATAGTGGGCGTAATTGTGTTTGGTTAGATTCGTGCCCGGTTGGTCTAAGAAGTGCTCTTAGTTTAGATAGGTCGTTTGTTTCTGCTCGACTTGTTGTCTAGTTGCTGCCTTTAGCCCTCTTTATATAAAAAAAATATTTGAATTTAAATTAGAGTAAAAATAGTTGAATTTAAAATAGGAAAATTAATTTTGTAAATAGAATAAAATTGAGAACTAAACTATAATTTTGTCTAAATAAAATAGTTATAAAATTATTGCTTAAAATAAATTATATTTAAAAATGTTAAACATCAACGTAAAATAAAATACTATAATATATGATACTAATAAAATTTAAAAAGGAATTAAACTATAAGTATGCATATTATCCATTTAAAAACATTAATCTAAAATCTAAACCGATGAGAGCTATTTTTAGTACATAATTCTCTCCTTAAAAAATTGAAAATATTTATTAACATGTTAGTTATAACTTATAAGTGTTAGGTCCATAATTCTCTCTTAAAAAACCATCACGGAGAATCTAGTATCAGTCTAGTTATCTAGTTAGGGGTATATATAGTTGGATAAATTTAATAAAACTCATCCAAACTCATAAAAAAACAAGTTGCGATGGGTTATTGGTGAGCAAGTTTTTAAAAATAAAAAATCATTTAAAATAGTTGAGTTATCGGTAAAGTCACACTCAACTTATAAAATTTATGGATTATTAAGTGATTAATTTTTGTAATTTAATGAGTGATAGATTTTGATATATTTAATTTCGAATGCTTTAATTATAATTTTTTAAATATGATTTATTTTATAAATAAGTTTTTTTATCCTAATACTCCATTTTAAAGTCAATAATATCAATATATTCTATGTTGAAAAAAAATAACAAAACTCACACTGAAGTGACGAGAAGGTGAAGAAAATGCTTGTTGCGTAGGTGTTCGTCCAATGAGACGGCGAGCACGTGAAAGATGTTTTTATTTATTTTATTTATTTATTTTATTTTTAGTTATATTTAATTATATATTTAATTATATTATTATATTAATTATATATTTAATTATATTATTTTTAGTTATATTTTTAGTTATATTTAATCATATTATTTTTAGTTATATTTGTAATTATATATTTATTATAAAGAGTGTTTAATTATATATTTAATTTAACTATAAATAATTTTTTTAGAGTTTTTATATATAATATATTATATTAATTTAATTATATTATGTTATATTAAATGGAAAAAAAAAAGTGAATGATATAATAGTTTAATTTTTCTTTCTGTCATGTATTAAAAAAGAAAGACTGATGTTCATCCATGGAGGTGTAAAGTTTTTACAGAGTCTCGGTCATTGAATGACCGAGTTCAAACGTAATTTTTTTTTTAATAAATAGACGTATTGCGTATCAGCACATATCATTCGTGTCTAGTGCTCCGTGTTTTAAAAATGTCTGTCCGAGCTCTTGTTTTTTATGGACAAGAAAAAAAAAGTGTTTACCTAGATCCGCAGTGGAATTTCAGAACCGTGGTTGCAGCAATTAACACGGGGGTTTCGGCAGTTGGGTGGTCGTCGCATGACGGTGAGAAAAATGGAGTACCGTTGTCTGTATATAACGCTGACTGATCCTAACCCGGAGGATACGTACATGTATTACTTGAATCATATAAAAAATGATGAAGATGTCCAATGCATGTTTTCAGCACTTAGTGGCGAAGTTAACAGAGGAGTCGCAGATCCACTTGTGTTGGTTGTTGTTGGTTAGCGTGTATGTTAGCTTCCTGAGTTTTTTTTAAAACTTTATGGTTGTAATTTGCTAGTATTGTTGTAATTTGAAATTTGTCTTGAATTACAAATAAATGTTGGATCACATAGAAAACTAGTGCGAGCAAAATATATAAAATTATCTAGGCGGTCGATTTGACGGCCCGACAACATTAGGACATTTTCTACGCATATGACCTATTTCTCTGTAAATCCCACACCTTCTCTTTTCTTTTTCAGCGTCGTCCATATCAGTTCTAATTCTACTACTAGTTGGACGTCCCTTTTTATTTCTTCTCATGGAATCGTCGTGGCATAGAGTAAAACCTTCATATTTTGGCCAGTTCTCCTCGTGCGATAGTCCCAGGAAGCTTTCTTTGTAGACTTTGAATACGTTAAGTACTGTGAAGACCTCTGGAATGTGAATTGTGTAGTCTTGTCATATGCTAGAACATGTTGTGATCACGTGGGAGCAAAGCAAGTGAAATGCTTGAAATTTTCCACAGTCACACAAACGATTCCTCAAGTCAACACTGAAAGTACCCGTTGGACGACCATCGTTTTAATTAATTTTTTCCTGCACCATGAAACAGAATCTTTTGCGATCAAATTGCATGACATTATGTGTGTTAGCCTTGGCTACCTCATCAGCCATTCACTTGTTATAACCATCTATGAAAACTTTCCCTGTAGCTAGCATTTTGGTCCATTTATGTCCTCGCTTTCCAAAGATTGAACCCATTCGATAGTATGTAGACTGGACCAAAGCAGTGATTGGAAGGTTTCTGATTGCCTTTAGTACAGAGTTTATGGCCTCTGCCAAGTTAGATGTCATATGTCCCCAACGTTGTCCTCCGTCAAATGCTCTAGCCCACTTCTCCCTAGGTGTGTTGTCTATCCAATTTGAAGTCTTAATGTTTGTTCTTCTAATTTCTCCGTGATAGTAGTTAAATGTAGCCTCCGTCAATGTGTAACCTGTAATAGAAATTGTGTGAAAAACATAATAAAAGTGTGATACAAAACTTGAGATAAGTGAAATGTATTTTGTTACCCATGTTAACAAGTTTTTTTTGCGTAGATCCTTGTCCTTAATCTCGCACATGAAGTTCTGAGCAATGTGTCTAATGCAGTAGACATGTGAAGATGGTGGATGTTGCCATCCGTTTTCGGGATTGTTATATGCATTCTTTATCGATTCATGTCTATCAGAGATTAGGCATAAATTAGGTTGTGGTGTCACGTGTAATCTCAGGTTCCTTAGAAAAAAGCTCTATGCTTCCTTTGTTTCACCTTTGACCAATGCGAATGCTATTGGGAAAATATTTGCGTTACCATCATGTGCCACCGCCATCAATTGAGTTCCTCTGTACTTGTCATACAACCAAGTTCTTTCTACTTGCACAATGGGCTTACAATAGGCGAAGCCACATATACACGGACGAAATGCCCAAAACAGACGATGGAATATTCGTTTTCCAGAGATTTGGGAACCATCATTTGAAATTGCAGGTAGGGTTTGCAAATCTATAATGATTCCTGAAAGGTAGGTTTTCATTACCAGTATCCACTGTGGCAGGTCGATGTAAGATGTTTCCCAATTTCCATAGAGCGACTCTATGGCCTTACACTTAGCGATCCATGCTTTCCTATAAGATATTATGTACCTGTATTTTTCAAGAATATGGGCAATGATCACCTTCACCTTAAGTGAGGCGTCTCGGTTGACAAGTTCTCTGATGCTATGGCTAATCATTTCTGAACTGAGCTTCATATGGTCTTGTTCCATAGACGTGGTAGTGCATGTGTGAGGCCCAGACAGCTTACCGATCACCCATTTTGAGTTCCTTTTTCTCCAGGAAGCTCTGCACTTGAAATTGCAGTCTTGTTTCTTACACTTAATTACATATCGTTTATTGTTAGATTGATAAACCCAATAGTCAACACTGTGTGTTATGTGCCAATGTTGCAGAGCAAAGACGCAAGCTTCCTTGTTTTCAAAC